TTTATGCTCCTTGGCAAACAGAGCAATATGCATTTACATAACCTTGAAGATAATTTGCAGTGTAGATCTAACTGAAGCTGATTCCATAATATCTTGAGGTGTTTTATGTTGTTGAGGCAAAATGTTATCCAATCCTCTGCTCAATATATTTTCTATTCCTCACGTCTAATAGATTTTTAAAAAAACAGCCTACAAACTAAGAGCCTGATGCTTTTTCAGCTTCAGCCAAAAGAAACAATGTGCTCATTTAGAGCAGAACTATGAATCATCAACATAAAGAAAGTACTTGAGAATGATACAGAACTCTTTTAATGCATCATAAATGAACAGAACCATTACTTGTGAAATATGACAATATCTTAATTTCTCCTACAGGTTTTAATTGCCATATTATCTTCATTATAAAGAACAACAAAAACATTCTTTTAATTCAAAATATAATTTATGTCTGATTCATGCAAAGGATTCATAACTATTCCACTTGAAAAGAAATTCCAATATAAATGCTAATCTTGGAAAGTAACTTTATTTTGTTTGTGAAATTAGTTGTTAAGTTTCATATGAGGGATGTTATTTGGGGATATGATTCAAATTTGTTTTAATAATAAAAGCTAAAAAAGTGTCTTACAACTGTTATATCTGTCATTTTCAATAAAAGCTGAGCTGCAACCAAATCCTCTCTCTCTCTGTATTTTTCCAAAGAATGATTGATGTTTGAATTTCTAACATTACACCTGAAAAGTATTATTTTTTCAGCACTTCAGCCACAGTCTTTTTTAGCCACCTCGCACAAGTGTTGAAAATCATCCTAGAGTGAGTTTGAGTGACAGGACTGGCTTTCGAACCGGGGCTGGCTTGACAGCCTGTATCCCTTTCTCTAGCTGGAAGTAGAGGCTAGCTGAAAATGACACATCCCAGAGAAAGCTAACAACTGGCTATCACCCTGACCGTTTGTCTTCATCAATCAACCTGCGTTTGTTGACTAAGCAACATGGTGTCGCGATTACTTTCATGCATTCCCTTAATGGGGTCCAGAGGGGCATCCTTTCCTCACAGTAGGCATTTCCTGTCCCATTGCATCATGGGATATCTCTGCCTCCTTTGAGTAGATTTTTTTTCCAAAGTTTTCCTTCTTTTCCTTTTGGTTTTCTCTTTCCTCCTTCTTTTTAATCTCACCTTCATTCCTGTCTGTCGTTCCCCCCCTTCTTGATGTTATTTGCTTAGCTTTGTCACACTGCTTCACATTAGAAGCAGAACCACTGTGTTTGTACCCTTGTTATGTGAATACTTGTGATGATTTCCACTTATTTTCCAAGGTATACACTGAACTGGATGTTGCAAACCTTTTGATCAACCCTCAGATTTTATGAACAGATACCGGCGCTGTGCGCTCAGATCAGCGCATTAGCGTTTCATTTGAAAGAATGGTGTCACTGTGTTGACAAGCTCATGATAAGTTGGTAGCTTCTAAGGGAAAATGTTTAAAGCAGATAAATGCCTCAGGACTCCATCTGTCTGTCTTATTGTCCTGATTGTAGTTTATTTTCGTGATTATGAAAACCTGCTTTAAACAGGCTTGTGGGATGTTGGTTTATTAGCTTTAGATAAAGCGTGCCCCTCGTTCAGTGGTTTCACATGAGGTATTTAATGTTATCTCTTCTGACTTCTGTGCATCTGTATTTACTGTCTACACGACCGCCTTTTTTCATCCTTCCTTTGATTATTACAAAGGAGGAAGGAGTTGCGAATGATATTTCTTACTCTTAGTCTCACTTACTCCCTTCCCTCTCTTACTTTCTCCTTTTTGCTGCACCTCTCCTATGGCTTTAAGAGGCTTAGCAGCAGCTTAGCGCCCAGGTCAAACTGGTCTTTGCCCTTCATCTGTCAGCCTTTTGATGTGGTGCCAGTCTGGGCAGCTTGCTACGCTCTGCCTTTAACAGCACATCCAGAGGTCAGAGGAGAGCTCTACTTTAGGACTCAACCCCACCTTAACACTCTTTGTGTGTCTCTTTTACCCCCCATTTCCTACTGCATCCCGTTACTGCTCCTTCTCTTCACTAGTGCCCATTATTATTTTATAGTTTGGTTCTGCATTCCTTTCTTTCAGGCTGTGGTGAAAGGCAGACCTTTGGCTTTATTGCTTACACATGTCCACGGCTTTCTCCCTCAGCAGGGAGAGACAAAACAGCAAGATGTAGATGGCCAATGAGGGCCAGCCATCTTAACTCTCCCCACCTTGAACTAATCGCTGGGGGCCAGGGTACATCTTTGCCTCAGCCTTGTGCCAGTGGGGTTTCAATTTGTAGAGACATAAACAGATACTAAAGCAAAGGTAACAACACAGTGATTTATCAAGCTAGTTCACATCAAATTATCACAGCGCCCCCCTGCTGTCAAACCCCATATTAGCCCCCAACCAAACCCCTGCTTCAGAGGTGTGCCGTGGTCACACTTCATTTAGGAGCGGACAAACATGTGTCCCAATGTCTGGTTTCCCTCTGAGCGTGACGACCAGCTTCAAGCAAGCCAAAGATCATCGTGGACAAGGCTTCAACGCTTTAAGCAGCATGTCTGTTTTCAGGTTTGTGTGTGTGCTGGTAAAGGTGTAAGAAATCTGAGCAAGAGTCTGGCTGATATGCCTAAGCTGTAACACGGGTGAAATGACTGCGGTTGAATGAAAAGCATCTGCATGGTTGTTTTTACAAAAAAGAACTACAATAAATTGTTATCTCTCAGATGCACACAATTTTTTATTCGTTATTTTCTTTTTTTTATTTGTTTGTTTCATCACCAGCAATAGACGACCAGAGTTGTTTATTAGTTGTTTTTTCTGTCTAAAAGCACCGTAGTCGGGTTGAGTTGTGTATTATTGTGAAATCAAGATGAGTACCTGAATCAAACCTGAAATAAACATACCTTTTTTTCTGTTGCAAAACTGTGTTCCACTTTAATATGCCGCCTGAAAGAGTGCTGCCTTTGATCTCCACTTGCAGGAGCGCTGCACATGGATAATATATCTTTCAGAGATAAAAGTAAAAATGTGCACAAGCTGATGATGTCATTCAGTTGTGTCCGCAAGCCTGGGAGAAAAGCAAACTTTCACAGGGGAGGCTATCCCAGGGATCACTAAGGGTGCTCTCTGAGCCTTTGGGGAAATCAATTACACATTTTCCAAACTGTGATTCTTGCTGTAGGAACTTAATCGCGGGGCCCTTCTGCAACAGATCATTTCAATGAGTTTGGACAATGTTTTTGCTCCTTGGTGTCTACCCCACTCCACCCCCTCACTGCAGCCCCCACCACATCTCCCACCTTTGCAGTTTGCTACATTTGTGTAGACTTTACAAATCTGCAGAGAGTCATTCATCATCATTTTAATTCGTATCTGTCTTGAGTGCCTAAGCTTTGATCTTGTTGTATTTTACACTTTACATCTGTTCTGCATTTAACCTTCTGCCGTGCTGTTGCTCAGAAACTATTAACCCCGTATAACTGGAGTGGACTACACATTGTAACTTTGTAACCATTATAAATCTGGCATATTTGTCCTGGCCCACCAAATAAATGATCCACCAGTTCAAATGCTGTGATAAGAGGAGCTCACGTTGCTATTTCCTGCCTTATGAGACAGGACAGAGAGCAATCCCATGCTTCCTCTTATGTGATCTTTTCTTCTTTTAAAAGCTTATCTACTCCTAAATCATCCTTCTTTAGCAAGGAAGTATGGATTTTTTTTTGGTATTTTCTCTAACTCTTTCCAGCTTCATCATTTCCAGGCACAACTCCTTACGTATGTTTGCTGGCACTCCACCTATGGCCCCAGCCTCTCTCCCTTCCTCAAAACTTCAGCTCTGTCCTCAGGAACCCAAGATCACAAGGCCCTGACCCCTCCTTCTCCACCAGCACACTAATCATCTCTAATCAGAAGTGAAATGCATTTTTCTAAGGAAGTAGCTGGAAAATTTCACAATCTGCATTTCTCCAACCAAGCTGATTAGGGAAACATTATCCTGCTTTCACAGTCACTTCCAATCTGCCTTTAATCTGTCACTTCAATCGCCTAATTATTTAGTCAATGACCTGAGGACGCAATCTTACAAAAGAATGAAATGCATGCCATATCATTTTCCCTTTCATTTATGCATGATATCACTGGTTACACGTTATGTTCCCTTCAGCTAAATATCCAAGCCTTGCTCCTCTGCAGATGAATGTCTGTTTTAAGTCTGTGCTACTGCATGTGTGGCATGCGCGGGTTTGAGCGTGTGCTGGTGAGCTATTTATTGTCCTTGCAATGCATCCTGTACATACAGCAAGTGGATGTGTGCTTCAGTGTGTGTCAACAGTAGCTTGTTTAGAAGCTGCTGAGCTGTGAATGCCGACTGGCGGTAATGCAGTTTGGCCCCCGAGTTGGAGTACCCTTTGGGGAATGAGACTCTGTGGGGGAGTTGTGTTATTGAAAAGGTCATGATTACAGTAGGGGGTCAAAATAACTCGCTGACACTCTTTATACACAAGTGACTGCTACTGGGCCTCAGGCCGTTGAGAACTATATTGAGTATTGACTATATGTCACGGCAATAAAAAGGGAACCTGTTCTCCATCGGTGAAGGTTCTACCTTCAAAGTGTGAAGTCAGGACAAAGGGAAAAAAACATCTCCAATGTCAATAGGATTGTCATGTTGACATGGTAATTTAGTAGCAGAGTCAGGAAAGGAAAAAAAGCTGTAGTATTAACCAAATACATTTAAAATGAGAAAAAATCTATTGTTATAAGAAATTCTACACAAGTAGAGCTTTATTGGGTGTCTCTTTCAAATACCTGGTTAGATTACAGTTCTTCCTCAAAACAGAATTATGTCTTTGTGGCATAGGTTGAGGAAATATTCCTGAGAATATGTAGTTACGGCAGATTTATAAGTGCACATACATTATTTGAACCTTCGTTTCACCAAAATCCTATACTTGCTCCACTGCTGACTCTGTTGTTGACTCTGCAGGCCATTAAAGAATGGTGAGATCATGCTCAAGACACAAATTATGGTAGGTAACAACAAGTGTATGAGTTTGATTTGGTCAAAAAGTGTCATGTCGAATGTTGCTTTTTTAGTACTATGTGGACATATGTTACAAATCAATATCCCCATATTACTGATAGCACAACCAAAAAAAGTGGCAGGGTTGTCCCATTGTTGTTAACTTAGTTGTGGGTCTAAGTGCTTTACCTGTCTCCTCCCCAGGGTGTGTTTTGGCAGGATGAGCTCCTAGCTGATGCCACTTCACTGCAGTCAGGAGGCAGAATTTAGAGGAGTGGATTTCCCAGGACGGATGCCAGTTGGTTAACTTCTGCACTGTGGTAACTTACCTGCTATCCCCTTTAATTTTGATATTCTTGTTGAAAATTCACCTTCCTTGTTTTCCTCTCGTTCCATTCGCACTGACTCCAAGTCCGTCTCCCCCGCTGCTTCCTGGATCCATCCTTAAGCGCTCACCTGCCTGTCGACTCATCGACACTCCCTCTGGGTCAGTAAAGAAAGAAAGAGTAAATCAGTATTTGTGCGCTGCAGCCCAACCGAATTCCCATCCTGCCTGGATGTCTTTAATTCCCCCCCAAACAATTCCTGGCATATGAGAATCGTAAGGACTGCACAACCTTCTCTCATCACCTAAGATTCCTCCTGTAGCCACATAACTGATTGTGTCTCTTCCCCAGAACGATCCAATCTGAGCCTCCCTGGTGCACCTTTTCTAGGACAACCAAACTTTCTGTGATTCAAGAATCATAGCAGCATGTCAATTGTTTTATTTTTTCATGATCCTAATCCCAACAACTGAGTACCACACTTAAACTCCTAGAACTCCTTTAATCAGGCAACCTCTTGGCATGAAAGTTATATGTGTTGACCATTTAGAGGAGGTATTGGTTGTGATGTCTGGTTATTTGAGGGACTTTTTGAACCTTTCTATAATCCCAAACCAATACCTTACCAATATTCTTTCCTTAATATATGTTCTCTTTCTGAACCATTACCTGGAAACGCAAAAGATGGTTCATAATTAATTCCTAACTTGACCAGGTATTAAAAACCATGCTCTACAGAAAATATTCTTCTTTCAGTACTCTTTTTACTTTTACTTTGAACCTTAATAATTTAGCATCATTGACTTAATCTAGATCTGTAGATATATTGAGTTTCTGCCATGTGATTGGCTGATATCCTAACCATCAAACAGAGACACCTAAAAGTTGAACCTAAGGCAACCTCTTGGCATAAAGGTTATATGTGTTGACCAAGAAATAATGAGCCATCGAACAGAGATATCTAAAAGTTGCTGAACATTGTATAGCTGCACTACTCATAATTACATCTTTATTTATACCTTTAACTCAATAAAATAATACAGCTCTTGCCCTTGTAACTTGTGCAAAGTTAAAAAGCAATCTGAAATATGTGTGTTGCAAATATCAGGACAATTAAAGAATAGATTAAAGCATGCAGTTCGGAGAACTTTATATACAATGCAATTATAACAGTTGAACACCCTACCCAGTGAATCTGATAAAAATAAAGAAATCTGCATCCATTTTTGGCATTTACTTAATCATATTTAGTTACTTTAACACAATTGTTGTATGTCCAACCCTGCTAACATGAAACAACTCTGTTAAAGCAACTAAATATGATTAAGTAAATGCAAAACACGGTTGAATAATTTTTTTCAGTGAGCACAGCTGTCTCTCTTCTGTGTCTGACTGTATGGCCTTTACTCTATTTGCAGGCTCTTCAGCTTCCGGATTCTGGACAGACAACATGGTGATTTGGTCCTGACACTGAATACCCTAATAAACCTGGACAGAAATGTGCTTTTAAAAGTGTAAGAAAACATTCCAATGTCTGGCTGTAAGGCAGATACTATGTCCAGTCCAGCCTTTTGTTAAAACTAGTTCTTAGCACCTTCTCTTAGTTTTGCAAACATACCACCAGAGGTCATGAACTCTGGCACCTTGGAGGGCACCTTGACCAAAGAAAAACAGGGGAGGCACATCAAACACCAAGATTTGCTGTTTGTTCAATTTAACTTTTAAAGTTTTGTGTTTCTTGTATTATTATCAGTTTACAACCTGATAAGATGTTGAACAGAGGTAAATCTCTACAGACAGAATCCTTGAAAAATTGTTTATTTGCCCTGAGGTTCTGTTTTTATATTCAAAGCATATTTTGTCCCTGTTCATGTTTCAACAAAAGCTGTGTGAAATTGAACATTTAGGGTAAAATAAGTAATAATAAAAAGTGTGATTTCAAATTTTGTTTTGATTTATAGCAAAGCATGAGAGCTATTATTGACATCCCCAGTTGGTAACTACTGCAGTTAGCTGACAAAATCCGTTCTCATGCACTAACATTGAGGTTGAAAGTGCATAGCAATAGGCATAACTTTTGTAACAGAACAAATATTGACTATTTCTTCTGACTGGCAGAGAAAGCGATCAGGCTATAATAACAGATGGTGCCGTAACAGAGAGAGGGAGAGTACAGGGGCGGCGGGCGGTTGCTGTAGAGAGCTGATGTGTGAGCTATTTCAGGAATGCCGGAGAGGAAACGTATTGATCGGGACACTTAGACTTGATAAGGACGTCAGGTTTAAGAGGAGCAAAGCAATCATTAAGTACACAACTGCCTGCTGTTGTTCAAAAAATATATTTGCTGCTCTCCCTCTTTTGCTCTTTTCTATTTTTCTCCCCCACTTTATTTGTCTCTTTCTTGCCAGAGGTGAAAAGAAAATCTCATCTCCATCAGGCTAAATTGTGGTGGGCAGCGTTATCAGTTCAGAAGACCTGGGGATTTGACAGCTCCCACTCCATGGTGATTAATTACTTCTCAACACTGGTGGGCTCTCCCCTCTCCCTCTGAGTGAGCTGCTCCAGTGGAGGTGGTAGTGGCTGGAGGCAACACATGATAAGTGCTGCCCTTATTACTGGTCTCTCTGGGAGAAGACAATGCTGGACTAAAACAGGTTAAATCATACTCCCTATGCTGCCTGGTGACAATAAAGCATAATATGTGTTGTATATCAACTTGTTATGGCTTCCTCCATGGTTACAAACTTTCTTCCCCTTTCATAAACATCTTACACGGTTGACTATTACAGACTTCAGAGGTCTTCATTATCAACAGACAAGGAGAGGAAGGAGACTCCTCATCACATCTCTTATGGACAAAATTAATCACTTATAGACATAATAGAAGAGAACTCATCCATTACAGCCAGTGTAATCACTCAGGAGAGGAAGCAGCAATCAAGTGAGAGGCTTCAATATACACTAGCAAAGTACTTAGCTGTGTACATATTTGTATTACAAGCTAGACAAAATCTTTTTTCACTTTTAATATGCATTCTACTTTTTTTGCACACAGCTGGTCCTTGAGGTTCATGTCTCCCTGTAGGCTCCACTGTTTTGCCTGTGTGAATGAGTGGCACTTTCCCTGAGGCTGTGACTGATAATGGGTGTCTGCATTTGTATTTTTTTTCCTACTATTTTACTGTATGAAGCTCAATGCATAGGTCTAAAAAAGCCTACTTTCGAAAGTGTCATTATTGAACCTGTCAATGCTGTAAGTCTCCCTGAAGGCAACAAGATGGAGATGAGACACAAAAAGACACATGGGGAGGAATGGTACACACATGGCTGTCACACGTCAGTCCCCGTTGGCAGGGACTCCGGCCATTACTATGTCATACAGATGGACACATCTGTTTGTTTCCTGGAAACACAGGAAAATGAAAATCCCCAACAGCGTGTCTGTTGTGAAGATCATTTGTCCATATAGGCTATGGCGGCTACCTTAATTTCAAGACTGATGTTAACTGGAGACTTCACTAAGGTGTTAACTCTTTGATATTACTGTTGCTGACATTGCATTGTATTTTTTGTGTTAGATTCAAATTAAATAGTGAAGATTTTTCCTTCATATAAATATATATATATATATATATATATATATATATATATATATATATATATATATATATATATATATATATATATATATATATATATATATATATATATATATACACATGGGGCTTTAATGACACATTTCACTACAGTAACAGCAGCCGTCATTCTTTAAGTGGAATGTGTCTACAAACTTTTGTTAGGAAATATCCCAAATTCTCCCATGTTGTGGAATGTTTGAATGAATAGCAGGTTTCAAGTTATTCCATAGACTCAATATTTGAAGTAGATTTGGACTGTGACTTTTCAAGCACATAAATAAGCTTTGATATAAAAACTTCTGTTGATTCTACCTTGTTGTTGTCCCATCTGTGGTCAGCAAAGTCTCAATTCTAACCTGTTCTAACCGTCTACAGCAGCTACATTCAGATGGTTAAACGGGAGTTATTTGTGTCTTCCTTTCAATAATGGCTTTTGTTCTTGTTATGCTTCCAAGATACACATTTCTAGATCCCCAAGGATGTTTCCGGCGCTCTATTAGATTGAAATTAGATTGAGTTCTGGTGATTGGGCAGGCCATTTCAATAAAGAAAAACGTCTGAGTTTATTTATGCTTAAAGGGGAATGTTGGTTTTTTAACATTGGGCCCTTGATTTTACATTATTACATCAGGTTCTGCTCACCCATATGAGTTTTGTGGCATTTGGAGCTGTTCTAAAGGTATTCCGTTAGGTTATATCCAGTAACGTCTTCCTATGGGCAACGACTGGGAGGCACAAATTAAACTATTTCTCTCAGTAAGTTCCTGCCATGTGATTGGCTGATTAAAAATTTGTGTTAACAAGCAGTTTGACAGGTGTACTTAATAAAGTGGCCAATGTGGCTGTCTAGCTCAAGTCCTAGGTCACCTGTCCTGCCAGCAGGAAGCCTGGGTTCGTGAGACAGCTCGGGGGTATGAGCTGCCAGTGTGGGTCCTTATGCAAGACCCTTCACAATAATGCCTGCTTTGGGGAGTGGCGGAGTAGTGGTAAGGCAGTGTGCTTGGATCTGGCTCCCTGAGAAAAGACCCTTAACCCCCATACTACTCCCTAGGTGCCACACAATGGCAGCCCACAGCTGCCATTAAATGCAGAGGATTCATGTCGTTGCTCTAACTTGTGTCAGCGTAATGACAATAAATCGCTGGAAAAAAACAGATGTATGTACACTGCAATATACACATACAGTATGTGGTCTTTTGCTCAACACATTGTCCCGCCTAAGCTAAGGAACTATGAAGTTCCCCCACTGCTAATTTTTGTTTCTGTGTTGCTCTTCTGATTATTGCTCTGTTTGGCCAGTAAGTCCCTTTAAATCAGTGCCTTTCTCTTGGGAGGTTGGCAGTCCCGGCATACATTTTCTTCTCAGAGATATTATTAAATTCTTCATAGCTTTGTGATAAACTTTTTTAGCATACTTTTTGACAATTAGTTAAACTGGAGTTCACCTACAGTCTATCAAAGTTAATATGCTCTACTTTCTGTAAGTCTTTGATACTGGTTCAGAAAGTAAGAGTATCGATGGACAAAATCACAGGCAGGTGTGCTTTTTTATCCTCTTCAAAAAAAAAAATCACAACAATGAAAATGGTAGGACATACTTAGAGTAAACGTAGTTGAAATTATATGAACATTTGACATGTCATTTTAAATAGATATTGTGCCGAAATTGATAAGAAATTTTTCTTTTTGTATTTTCATTATTGCTTTTTAGCATTGACCTGGTACATTTGATACATAATCTGCATTTCTTTCAATCTAAGTTAAAAGAGCTGTAGATGTAAACAGGTACTGCACATATTTTGTGGCATACATTTTTTTAATTGTATGTTTTCTTTTTTAATAAGGTGAAAAATTTAAGTTTGAAAATGATTGCCGTTTAAAAAAAAATCTATATTAAACATGTAGAAATACACTCACCGGCCACTTTATTTGGTACCCCATGCTAGTAACAGGTTGGACCCCCTTTTGGCTTCAGAACTGCCTCAATTCTTCGTGGCATAGATTCAACAAGGTGCTGGAAGCATTCCTCAGTTTGGTCCATATTGACATGATGGCATCACACAGTTGCCGCGGATTTGTCGGCTGCAGATCCATGATGCGAATCTCCCGTTCCACCACATCCCAAAGATGCTCTATTGGATTGAGATCTGGTGACTGTGGAGGCCATTTGAGTACAGTGAACTCATTGTCATGTTCAAGAAACCAGTCTGAGATGATTCCAGCTTTATGACATGGCGCATTATCCTGCTGAAAGTAGCCATCAGAAGTTGGGTACATTGTGGTCATAAAGGGATGGACATGGTCAGCAACAATATTCAGGTAGGCTGTGGCGTTGCAACGATGCTCAATTGGTACCAAGGGGCCCAAAGAGTGCCAAGAAAATATTCCCCACACCATGACACCACCACCATCAGCCTGAACCGTTGATACAAGGCAGGATGGATCCATGCTTTCATGTTGTAGAACCAAAATTCTGACCCTACCATCCGAATGTTGCAGCAGAAATCAAGACTCATCAGACCAGGCAACATTTTTCCAATCTCTTTTATTGTCCAATTTCGATGAGCTTGTGCAAATTGTAGCCTCAGTTTCCTGTTCTTAGCTGAAAGGAGTGGCACCCGGTGTGGTCTTCTGCTGCTGTAGCCCATCTGCCTCAAAGTTCGACGTACTGTGCGTTCAGAGGTGCTCTTCTGCCCACCTTCGTTGTAACGGGTGGTTATTTGAGTCACTGTTGCCCTTCTATCAGCTCGAACCAGTCTGGCCATTCTCCTCTGACCTCTGGCATCAACAAGGCATTTCCGCCCACAGAACTGCCGCTCACTAGATGTTTTTTCTTTTTCGGACCATTCTCTGTAAACCCTAGAGATGGTTGTGCGTGAAAATCCCAGTAGATCAGCAATTTCTGAAATACTCAGACCAGCCCATCTGGCACCAACAATCATGCCACGTTCAAAGTCACTCAAATCACCTTTCTTCCTCATACTGATGCCCGGTTTGAACTGCAGGGGATTGTCTTGACCATGTCTACATGCCTAAATGCACTGAGTTGCCGCCATGTGATTGGCTGCTTAGAAATTAAGTGTTAACGAGCAGTTGGACAGGTGTACCTAATAAAGTGACCGGTGAGTGTATCTAGTTGCGATTTCAAAAAATGTAACAATGGTCACTGGTTATGAAGAAACAGTTTTTGCAAAGCATCGTAACCCTAATAAATGACTGGGATGAGAAAATGTTTTATGGGAAAAGACTTCATTGTGTAGTTGGTGTCTTTCATGTGATTTTTTGGACCTCCATGTATCTCTCTTCCCCTTTCAATTTGAGTCGAGAGAATGGGTCCTGTCAGTACAGACATGCAAGCAAGGTGAACCTTTCCTAAACAGCAGACCTTTTCCTCGTACACAGAATTGGAACAACCCCGTGTTGCATGTCCCCATAATCTCTGGCATTTGGTTTTGATGCGACAATGCATGAAAATGAGAGAATATGGCAATGTTGTGGCATTTGAAGTCAATATGTATTATAAAGTCAATCTAGATGAAGATCTGCCCATCCCTCTAATTAGATGGGGTGACTGGAGATTGATTTTTAATTGCAAAAGTAATTACATGGAGCAGATACCCAGTGACATTTGATTATCTAGGTGATTGATTAAAAGGCCTGGCTGCTGGGGCAGACTGTCAGCCAGCTGAATCCAGACAAAAGAGAAAATTAAAAAAAGTTGTCCCGTTTGTAATCACAAATTCCAAGGGTGAAATTACAAAACCAAACATGCCCTCAGAGATACCCAGCATCCTTCTATGGTAGGTCAGTCTGCTCTTCTTTCTTGCCTCAGTCACCATAAGCACAAGACTTAGGCATTTTGATTGCTGGAAAAAGCAAAACAACATGGTAAAAAATGAAAGAAATTTTTGAATTATGTCTTCATGGATAGAGATATCTTTTTTGTTTTGTTTTTCAGAATATTCACAAGATATCGATGAAGTAAAAATCAATATGCAGGTTTTGAATTATGATATTTTTGAAGGGAAATATTCCAATAAAAGCAGCTGA